CTCTTGAAGCATTATAATATCTAAATTATAAGACTTAAGAAGAGTAAAAGTATTTCTTTGTTTTTGTTGATTGTTCAATCCTTTAACGTTTAGAGTTCCAATTTTTATCTTTGAGTTTTTAAGCATAAGAGTTGATTTGAGATAGAATTTTAGATCCGCACACTTTGGCTCTTATTACAAGTTTTTTTCTTGTAATGAGCAGTTCTAGTTTCTTCTTGTTTTTGTGTAGATGCTTTCTTTTTATCTTTTTTCCTTTTGTTTGTAACAGTTATATATTCTCCTTCTGAACGGTCAGGTTCCTGCAGTTCATGGTTATTGTTATCGATAATAACCATAGGAGAAGTTACCTCTTGTGCTGTTTCTTTGTTGGTAGTAGAATTGTTTGTTAGGTCTACATTTTGAGTTTCCAAATTTTCCCTCGTATTTGAATTTTTAGTGTTTAGAATCGTATCTTCTGTTTTTTTAATACACTGCTATGAGAGTTATTATTTCCATTAGTTCTGGAAGTGTCTTGTTGCTCTTCTGTAGTAGAGTTTTTAGGTTGTTCATCTATGCACATTTCTTGAGTTGAGGATGAAGAAGCTGATGTAGTTTCTTCAACCAATGGGTTAGAGATAAGTTCTGAGGTTTTTTCCTTGTTCTTATTTCTTTAGTACTCCTTAAAATGACAACAGAGTGCTAAAGCTTCTTGATGTTGTTTGCAATCTCTTTTGACATGACCTTCTCTGTTACAGAAAAAGCAGACCTTTGGAGCTGATTTCCATTCTGTAGTGATTTTGTTTTCTAACAAAATATAAAAATGAGGGATTCTTTTTTCTAGGTCTGAGTTATTTGTAGTATCGAAAATAATAACCCATTAGTCAGTTAAATAAGGAGTTCCTTCTATTAAAAGTGGTTTGATCAAAGCAATTTTTCCCACATCTTCGAAAACTTCTTTGATAGCTTCGGAGACTAAGTTTTTTTCTTATAAAGGAATGTTTCTAATTTTGACTGGAAGGAAGGACCTTCTATTATCTGTAAGAATAGAGCCAAGATATGTTTTATTAAAGATATCTACTCCTTTAACTGCATACTCTTGTAATTTTTCTTTGTTCGCAAAGATAATTTCTAAGTGGGTGCG